CAGCAAAAATAATTTTCAGATTATCCATATTCTTGTTTCCCTGGTTTTCTCTGAACCTCACTTTCTCAAGCTATGAGGTGAAGTGAAGTGATACATACACCTCTAAGTAGGACATTCAGGGTGAATCCAAAGGAACTTGTGAATTTGACCAAAAAAAAAAAAAAAAAAAATTCTGTTCCTAAATTTAAACCAGGAGTGATAAATTCAATTTAAGTTTTTGGAGGGGTTACAGAATATGTGTTTTAAAATTCAAGTTTTGAGAAGGCAGTTTACAAATGATGCCTGCTCTCCCTTTGGCAGCTTATTAAGGAATGTAGTTGTTTTTCAGCATTTGCCAGCTCCCTGTCGCAGTCAGGGAGCTTAAAGTGGTATTCTCATTGGGATTGCAAGTAAGAATCAATTTTTTTGTTCCTTCCCACACATTTTAATAGACTTCAAAAATAGAATGCGGGGAGAACTGATAGAGAAACAAAGAATTTTAAGTACAGAAAGCACAAATAGAATAATAATAGAATAACAAGAATAAAAGAGGAAGTAATACACTCTTCGTTCTCAATTTAGCATTTATTTGCACTTCACCAAATGTAGAGCATTGTACGAGAAGTGGCAGAACAAAAAAGGGACAAGTGAATGGATGCAATTAGGTGTTGTGTGTCCCTCCCAGGGAGTTGACATTGTAATTAGGAAACAAGACAGAAGGTGATTAGAACATAAGTAAATGAGAGTTGTAAAGAGGTGGAAATGATGATGAGAGTGAAGAAAAGAGAAAGATTAGGTTGCTAGGGCGGCCCTGGCTTCCTACATGAGGTGATCTGGACTGGGCCACTGATGACTAAGATGGTCATAGCCATCAAAGTAGGGAGGGGCCTCGCAGGCCAAGGTAACAGCCCGAGCAAAGATATGGACAGAAAATCCAGTGATAGGTGTGGGAATGGTGAGTAGTAGGGATATAATTGGTGCAGGCTTGTAACTAATGTTGGAAAGCTCTTTGAATGCCATGCTCAAAAATCTTGTATAATAAAAATAATAAATTGAATTTAGTTATCTGTAGGAATGGAGAAAATTAGATCCAGGACCAATAAAAAAAGTCTAACTTCAATCACATACGCAGTCATATTAGAGATTTATATTCTTTTTTTTTTTGGAGACAGTCTCACTCTGTCACCCAGGCTGGAGTGCAATGGCACAATCTCGGTTCACTGCAACCTCCGCCTCTCCAGCGGTCCTCTTGCCTCAGCCTCCCAGGTAGCTGGAACTACAAATATGTACCATCACACCTGGCTAATTTGTGTATTTTTTGTAGAGATGGGGTTTCACCATCTTGCCCAGGCTGGTTCCTGATCTCTTGGGCTCAAGTGATCTGCCCATCTCGGCCTCCCAAAGTGCTGGGATTACAGGCATGAGCTACTGTGCCTGGCCAGCAGAATTATATTCTTGATGCTTGGACCTTGAGGCTTTCTAGTCTTCCCCTTGGTTTATTGTAGTGTATGGCTTTGGAAGCCAGCAAGGGGTTGGAGAAGGCTAGAGAAAAGGGTACTACTGAATAACTATTCGTGAACAATTGCAAATATAAAAGTACATAATAGAAAAGTTGGGAAAATAGTGTTATAAGAAGGAAAGGGTTAATATAAAATGTTCTTTTGTCTTTTGAATTTTGTGGTATCTGCTGGCAATGTGGTTCATTTTTTTTCCTGCCAGTGACCTGCTTATCCAACTTTACATTTGGATTAGTGTATGACACATACAGCATATGTTGGTACCAGCACGTGGTATGGGAATCATACAGCATATGTTGGTACCAGCACGTGTCTGTTGTACATGTAAATGATTTATTTAAAGGGATGCTGCTGAAGGGACAAGGAGAACATTTGTAGCTCTAGTTGTGTAAATCTAATTCTAGGGTCATATTTTTAATTCTCAGGAGATTTGCATATGTATTTTCACATACAGTAATTTTTTTTTTTTTTTTTCAAGGCAGGGTCTTGTTCTGTCACCCAGGCTGGAGTGCAGTGGTGTGATCACAGCTCACTGCAGCCTTGACCTCTCCCAAGCTCAGGTGATCTTCCTACCTCAGCCTTCCAAGTAGCTGGGACTACAGGCATGCGCCACCACGTCCAGCTAATTTTTGTATTTTTTGTAGAGATGAAGTTTCACCATGTAGCCCAGGCTGGTCTCAAACTCCTGAGTTCAAGTGGTCTGCCTGCCTTGGCCTCCCGTAGTGTTGGGTTTACAGGTGTGAGCCACGGCACCTGGTCGAATTCACCCTTTTAAAGTATACAATTCATTGGTGTTTATAGTATATTCACAGAGTTGTACAACCATCATTACTATCTAATTCCAGAATGTTTTTATTACCTCCCTCCAAAAAAAAACGCATACCGATTAGCAGTCACTCCTCCTTTACCTGCCACCGCCCCCCGCCCCATCCCTTGGCAGCAATGAATCTGCTGTCTCCATATCTGCCTATTCTGAACATTTTATATAAATGGAATCATATAGTAGGTAGGCTTTTGTTCTGACTTCCTTCACTTAGCATAATGTTTTTGAGGTTTGTCTACATTACAGCATTGCATGGATGTATGCTGCATTTTATTTATCCATTCATCAATTGATGGACATTTTCTTTCTTTTTAGGGGAAGGTGGTTTGATAATAGTATGGGTATGCACTTTTTTGGTGCAATCTAAAACATTGACAACTCAAAAATGTATGGACATTTCTGTAATTGTATAGTACATATCCATGTAATGTGAGTTTTTAAAGAGAGCATGTTTCATTTTTACTAGACATAGTAGGCATGTCAGTTACAGAATTCCTTATGGTAAATGGTGGAGGCACGCACAGGGTGGTTAGGAGTGTCGAGGAAGGGGGTTCAGTTGGAGATGTCCAGTAGGTGTTCGGGAGATGAAGTCTAGCTACATCCGCACAGGTGACTAGCAGTTAGACAGGTAAAGGGCCAGGGATTTGAACGTGAACAAGGTAAAGCATGAAGTCATATAGTAAATATCTTACTGGAGGATCAAGTGTGAGGTACAGCCACCTCAATTTTCAGTCGTAAGCCTAGCTGACACTGTTAGTAGTGGAGAGGGATCGTAGCGGCATCCGTCCCAGCTTGTCCAGGGCCTTCCTCCCCACCTCACCCACAGCCCTTCTCCCACTGCATCCAGTTAGCTTTCTGGACTCCTTATCTGACCAGGTCACCCACTGCTGAAGCTATTTCAGAGACTCCCCATCATTCCTAGAGTACAGGCAGAAATCCTTCCCGTGGCTTCTACTCCCCTCCCTGCTCCTGGGCCTCTTCCTTCAGTCCCGTCTTTGTAGCATACTCTTCACTCTCCAGCCTCCAAGTGCTCGGGCCTACCTTGAATTCTCCCAGTTCATGCCAGAGCCAGGCTTCTTTGGCATGGATTGGTCCCACTTTCTGGTTCCTGCTCCCTCCTCTTTTCTCATAGTTTTCTCTTGCTCTTGCTGAGCTTAATCTGTGGTCAAACCTACTTCCCCTGGGTCAGATCCCCTCCAGCGGAATCAGACTTTGGCGAGGGCTGTGTTCTCATGGCAGCACATGGCTAAAATGATCATGGAGACATTGCTTTGGAAGCATCACACTAGAAACCGATGTACAGTCTCTCATTAACACAGCCTAGTTTCCCTCTGATGTTGGAAGTTACCTCTTTTTCCTTAACTGCAGCTCAGCAGGTGAAATAGTTGGCTTGTGTTACAGGATCATGTTTGCATGTAAATTAAGTCCCCCAGGTGGCTGAACTCTCATGGACTCAGGCAGCTCCGTAAGATAGTGGCACGGGGAATCTGAGTCTGATTGAGAGAGGCCCAGGTTTACACATTGTGCATCTCACTCACTGAGGGAGATGGTGGGCAGAATCCCTTGCACTATTTTAAGTTGTTCTTTGATTTTTGGCTGAGTGTGAATAGTTGTACTTTATACCATATATCTCTCATTTTGCGAGGTACAGTTGTGACTTAAATGCATTTGTATGTGAATGTCACCTTCACCCAACTACAAGCTCCACAAACTTGGGACTGTATGTGTGGCTTGTATCTTCAGGGTCTGGCTCATAGCAGGCACTCACTAAATACTTATTGAAAAATTACTTTCCCAGTCGTTCTACCAAATGGTAAGCTTCTGCAAAATTTGACTCATTTCATGTAAAACATGTTTTAAACTACTTAAACTCTAATAAAGCATAGACACATGTGCTTTATGCTACATGTCAGTAAGATTGGAGATTACTGTTTCTGTCAGGTTAATCTTGTTCTTGAGCAGATTTTGAAATAAAGCAAGTGGTTGAAAGATTCTTACCATTTGCAATTGCTTATTTTCATTCTACCTGCAGCAACAACAGTAGAACCTCAGAAACAGATGCATAGGCAGTTGGGATTGACGTAGCCTAGTGGGTTAAGTGCCTGGGCTTTAGAGTCAGTTGGCCATGTTCATATCTTACCCCCGCCTTTTACTAGGTGTGTGACCTTGACCATGCATGTAACCTCTCTGAGTCAGTATCCTCATGTGTAATAGGTACTAAGAGACTTGTGAGGAATAAACACAGTGTTGTAGCTTGCATAACATACTGGGCTCAATGCTAGCTGCTATTGTTGTTTCATCTTCAACCCCAAATGTCAGGATTTTGAAGCGTCTCATTTTATTATTAATTGTATTTTATAAATTAAGGACTGCTATATGTAAGTCCCACAAAAATGCCCTTTGCTTTAAAAAGTGGTGGGTGGGGAGGGTGGTTGAAACCTTTGGTTCAGACCAATAGAGGCTAGTACTTTAGCACAGTTACACATAGTGATCACTGGGAGACCTTGACATTGAATTTGAACTCTAGGACTAGGATCCTTCAGCTTCCTAGTGTAGGCCTATATCGTCCTCTAATTTGTTCTGCCTGTTGCCATTACTGAAGGTTGATGTAAGACATGACCATAAAAAGAACCTGTCTGTAAAACTGCCAGTGAAGACTTATTCATGTATTCATTTCACAGACACTCTTGCACTCCTGTAATGAGCCTGGCACTGTGATGAAACACTTTTCCTCTGTTGTTTGAGTGCATCTTCTCAACAACCCTAGGAGGTAGGTACTGCTGTCACTGTTGTTCCCATGAGGATTCAGGATGTTAAATAGTTCGCCCATGGGGCTGTGCTCATGGCATTTGGTGCCAGGAACAAGTTCTCTTTTCTGACAGTGTGCTTTGATTTGCACAGAAACAAGAGCGTTTTCATTTTTGCCTTGGCTGCCTGGAAGCTGGGCTCCCTTGAGCCTTAGCCTGACCTTTCCTGTATCATGTTGGTGCCCCTCCCTCACATGGCCCTTTTCTGTCTTCCCTTTTGTGTTATCTTCATTTTATTCTCTGGAATATGACTCATTCTCAGCCACCCAAAATTTGGGCAGGTTTTAAAGAATGAATGAAATATTGTACATTTCCTCTTGATATAATTTCATATCTGTCTCTGAATGTGAAACTTAGAAAACAAGATGGATAGATGAAAAACTTCTTGAAAAACGTAATGATTAAAGTAGAATATTTGATTGTAGGACTTTTTTGGACTGAGAAAGGTTATGGAAAGTATTCAGGTTTTTCTTTTAAGTTAAGAATCTGGCTGCTAATAGAAGTCAGATACTGTACTTTAACATTTTAATTCTTCATTTTACTCTCAAAATTATGAAAACATACACTGTTAAGGTGAGCTTTCTAATTTTTTTCTTTGTAGATAATGATGCTTGAACAATTAAATTCAGGTAAAATTTATGACCTATGTAATATGCTTTTCTTAATAGATTTCTTTTTTTTTTTTTTTTTTTTTTTAAGATAGAGTCTAGCTGTGTCACCCAGGCTAGAGTGCAGTGGCGCAATCTCGGCTCACTGCAACCTCCGCCTCTCGGGTTCAAGCAATTCTCATGCCTCAGCCTTCTGAGTAGCTGGGATTCCAGGCATGTGCTACCACGCCTGGCTAATTTTTGTATTTTTAGTAGAGATGAAGTCTCACCATGTTGGCCAGGCTGGTTTCGAACTCCTGACATCAAGTGATCTGCCCGCCTCAGCCTCCCAAAGTGCTGGGATTACAGGCATGAGCCACTGCTCCTGGCCCCTTATTCAGATTTCTTCATAGAATTTAGCAGAATTACTAATGTTTTCACCTTGGCGAAAATTGTCTTTGGACAGTCATTTTAAACTGTGAAGTATAAGAGACTTCACATTACCTTTTTAGGCAAATTTTGAAAATAACGTAGTAGGATCCCTTTATTTATTTAACTTATACTAAAGAAATTTCAAAGGATTTTACTGTTTTTAAAGAAAAAATAATATTTTTAATGTTTGTAAGCTGATTGTGGTTATATTATGGGTAGATCGAATGCAACTGGCTTTTGTTAGATGTCATTGGTAAATAAGATGGTGTGTACAATTATTTGTATCACCATGTGTGTTTTTATACAACTCTACAGTTAGAGAGATATTCATGTAGAAATTATTTTGGCAAATGCAAATATATTCCCAAATGGGAATATATGGTAGGCCTCAAACTGTAGATGGAAAATGTAAAAAATTGTACCCTATACTCTGTTTCCTGGTGGGTTTGGCATACCCAAATTCATTTGGTCAGAATGAGACAAACTAGGAAGTCCTACATTATTATGAAAAAAGAAAAGAACTATCAAAGTGTCTTGATAAAATTATAAATTACCACTTTCAAGGAATTTCTAAAACTTAATTTACTAGATATATGCAACCAATAGTCTGGGTGGGGTTTGTTAGATTGCATGATCTGGTTTGTAATTTGATATAAAGATGCTAAAAATTCAGTGATGTACGGTAAAACTTTGTGTCTGATAAGGCAGATCAGTAGAGACTTATTAAAATATTGGAATAAATGATGTCTGTTGTACTCTCATAACACAACATGGAAATTGTGTGAAAGGAAAAACATTGGGAGAGTTGCTGGGGCAGGGTTCCCAGTGGAGGCGATGACCATGCTGAGCAGTTCTAAAGGGACAGTGGTTCGTTGGGCGGTCACCAGCAAGGAGCAGCATATGCCAGGGAGGAGGCAAGAGTGTAGGGTGTGCTGAGCGAGTGGAATTGAATTTCAGTTCCGTGTGCTGGTGCATTCAGAATGACTGAAGCAGAGGCTGTGAGGTGGGAGGTGGCTAGAGTGAGGCTGGCCAAGAGCAAGAGCCAGGTGTCTTGCCTTCTCTGGGAAACAACCCACTGAAGAATTCTGAGGAGACATCAGATAGACGGTTCCCCTATGTCAAAATACTTGGTTTGCTTTTATGGTTTTCAGTCTTTTCTCTTTAAGTTGAAGTTGTTGAAGCAAAGATGCCAAAGAATTAAAGCAGCCAGTTTAGCACATTGTTACCTATGTCAGGAAAGTAAGGGGCTTGGGACTGTTTCAGTTTCCTCTTTAACATTAATTTAGTCTGGATATTGAGTAGAGCAATACATTTGAAATTGAAAAAGTCTCTCAAAAGGTGTGCACCTTAACTGCCACACACTTGTGTTGGACAGTTTAAATTGTATAAATATTAATTATAGTAGTAATTACTGTAGTATTAATTTGTTTTGTTTTTTTTGAGATGGAGTCTTGCTTTGTCACCTAGGCTGGAGTGCAGTAGTGCGATCTCAGCTCACGGCAACCTCTGCCACCCAGGTTCAAGGGATTATCCTGCCTCAGCCTCCCAAGTACCTGGGACTACAGGCACCCGCCACCACGTCCTGCTAATTTTTTTTTTTTTTTTTTTTTGTATTTTTAGTAGAGACAGGGTTTGTTGTTGTTGTTCACGATGTTGGCCAGGCTGGTCTCGAACTCCTGACCTCAAGTGACCTGCCCGCCTCAGCCTCCCAAAGTGCTGGGATTACAGGTGTGAGCCACTCTGCCTGGCCTGTAGTAGTAATTTGAAAGAACCAGTAAGAGGTAGGGACTAAGGTATGTCCCACCATTTTTTAATAATATTTTCCCATTCATTTAATTTCTCATTATACAAGCTGCTACAAGGTTTTTATCAGAATAGTAAAGCGTGTAGTTAGAAATGCAGAATTCCTACATGTTACAGGAAGTGTTCAGTTATACTATAGTTGCTCACATTGCATATAACCAGGAGATAGCCAGATAATGTTTTCTGCAGTGATTTTACAAATTCATCCTGGTCAATATAACAATTATTCATGTCTTTATTGCCTTCCCATTGAGGGATTCATAATACCTACTTTCCTATTAAGGTTATTGACCAAATTTGTTCTAGATCCGTGCTCTCCAGTACAGCAATTGGCTCATTAAATGTGGCTATTTAGTTAAAATCGAATACAATTTAAAATGCGGTCTTTCACTTCTATCAACCACATGTCAGGTGTTCAACAGTCACATGCGGCTAAGTGGCTGCTATATTGGACATTTCCATTGTTGCATCAAATTCTGTTGTACAGTGCTTCTCTAGTATTTTCTTATATACATTTTAATATACTTAAAAACCATTTAATACTAAAGTACAGATTAAATGATATAATCTGATTTGAAATAACTGGGGAGAAGGGAGAGTTGGAGGGGTTATGGAGGAAACAAGATTTGCCATAAGTTGATAATTGGTGAAGCTGGGTTTAGAGTTCATGGGAGCTCATTGTATTATACTCATTATATAGACATTTTGTATATGTTTTAAATTTTCCACAATAAAAATGTAAACAGAAGGATTAACCAGGAACTGTGCTCCCACCAGCACCTAGAAGTAGCTGTCTGTCAACAGGCATCTGAAATCTCACCCCCCACAGGCTGGCTCTTGTAGTGTAGTAAAGTTTTTAATCCTGCCACAGGACTTCTAAAGAACATATATAGTACCACATTTTCATTTAAGATTTATTTCATTCCTCCTCAAAACACACAAGTACCAGCACAGTCTCATGTTCCTTAAGTGTTTGAACTGCCCAAGTGAATCTTGTGGGTAGAATGTACTAGATTATATTAAAGTAAAAATTCCATTGCTGCTGACATTAATTTGAACAAATTAAAAATAGTGTTCTTAATGAAGAGAATAAAGTACATTTACTCAGTGGTTGCTTTATATTTTATTTCACAGCAGGATAAGTCAGCTTCTGTCTCTGGCTTTCCTGGTTAACAGCACCTGTGTCTGAAGAGAGAAAGGGAAGGGGTCGTAGGAAGTAGTAGAGAAAGTCCCTGGTACGAGAGAGGCCATCAGTGAACACCACAACTGTGCACTGAAGGGCTGTTTGAAGTTGTTAAGAGAAACACATGGGCCGGGCACGGTGGCTCACGCCTGTAGTCCCAGCACTTTGGGAGGCCAAGACAGGTGGATTGCTTGGGTGGAGGAGTTTGAAGCCAGCCTGGGTAACATGGTTGAGACTCTGTCTCTACAAAAAATAGAAAAATTAGCAAGGCATGGTGGTGTGCACCTGTGGTTCCAGCTACTTGGGAGGCTGAGGCGGGAGGATTGCTTGAGCCTGGGAGTTCAAGGCTGCAGTAAGCCAAGATGGTCCCACTGCACTCCAGCCTGAGTGACAGCGAGATCCTGTCTCAAAAAACAAAACAAAACAAAAACCATGCGAACTTTGATCTCCTACCCATCTCTAACAAATGGTGGTGGGGCTTACTATGAACAGAGAGGGGCTTATCATAGAGTAACGGTTCAGAGCAAGGGCTTTGGGGTCAGACTTGAGCTTGAGTGCCAGCTTCACAGTCAACTGTGACCAGAGAAAGGGGAAGAGTGAGCCCTTCCCAGCTGTTTCAGAGAATAATGGTAGACTAATAGCCGCACATGGCTAAATGCTCAGTAAACAAGAAGTCTTATTATTAGGTATTCCCTGGGGCTGTATGTTTTATTTCAGTTAAATGCTGATACTCACAGAATCATGTAGAAGAATGTGTAGGTATAAAGGAATGTAATGGTGCCTTTTTATTTTACAGGGTTCTTGAAGCTCTTGAGATTAACAATGGCAGGAAAATCATCACTTTTTAAAGTAATTCTCCTTGGAGATGGTGGAGTTGGGAAGAGTTCACTTATGAACAGATATGTAACTAATAAGTTTGATACCCAGCTCTTCCATACAATAGGTGTGGAATTTTTAAATAAAGATTTGGAAGTGGATGGACATTTTGTTACCATGCAGATTTGGGACACGGCAGGTCAGGAGCGATTCCGAAGCCTGAGGACGCCATTTTACAGAGGTTCTGACTGCTGCCTGCTTACTTTTAGTGTCGATGATTCACAAAGCTTCCAGAACTTAAGTAACTGGAAGAAAGAATTCATATATTATGCAGATGTGAAAGAGCCTGACAGCTTTCCTTTTGTGATTCTGGGTAACAAGATTGACATAAGCGAACGGCAGGTGTCTACAGAAGAAGCCCAAGCTTGGTGCAGGGATAACGGCGACTATCCTTACTTTGAAACGAGTGCAAAAGATGCCACAAATGTGGCAGCAGCCTTTGAGGAAGCCGTTCGAAGAGTTCTTGCTACCGAGGATAGGTCAGATCACTTGATTCAGACAGACACAGTCAATCTTCACCGAAAGCCCAAGCCTAGCTCATCTTGCTGTTGATTGTTAGATTGTTGATGCATTCTAACCAACTCACACATATACACAAAATCAACATGGGGATGGAGAAGAGAATTAGCATTTGCAGCAGTGTATCATCTACTAATAAAATTAAACTAATGTATGTTGCTGCTTCATTAGTTGGTGGGAGAAGGGACACATCCAATCATGGAGGAATATATTTACTCAATAATGGCACCTTTACATTTATAAATTGTAACGGTTGTCTAATAACGTTTCTTTAATTTAAATATGTAAGTTGCAGAGCTAATAAATGAGATGACCAAGACATTAATTATAATTAAAATAAGAAACTTGACTATTCTAGAAGTTATACTTGGATTTTTTCCTGGGAAAATGGAGAACTACTTTTTATATGTGTATGTTTTTATGCAATTAGCATTGTATTCTTGGTTCAGGGAAATAATTTCCTAAAGCAATAATGTTAGATATTAAAGATTAAAATCTAATGTATTTGCAATGCATCATTAATTCATTCTCTTCAGAATGACTTAACCATTCCTGTTTTCATTCTACATATTGGAATCACTCTCACTAGTAATTACTCATCATTTGTATGTCATTCATGCACCCCCAGCCCCATAGATCACATTCCACAGTCTCAGGCAGAGGGCAGGCCCCCAGTGGTACAAGAGTTGCTTCATACAGTCTATAATACATCCAGCTAAATTCAAGCTGTCTATGAATGGAAAACCTTGCCATAGATAGAGTTCAGTTTTAAGAAAAAGGCTAACTACTGAACTTGGAGAACAGACAAATGTGCATTTGATAACTGATGTAATAATTACAATGTACTGTGTGGAAGATACAAAATTACAATTCGATTAATGGACTAAATATTTTTGTTACTTTCTTCACCCTTGGGGAAAGTCTCTTAGTTGAAGTTAAAACATTCCTTTATAACACAAGACACAAGCTAACTTTATCACTCTCAGAAGAAATACTAAGGATTGTACTTTTTGAGAGGGTAAATGACATCTTTATTCGGCAATGTATTTACTTGGTGTCTTCTCTATCACTGAACATCTAGTGATTTGCTCTCAAGGAGATTTTTTGTTACAAAAAGACTTGTTGCAATGATCAGACTTGATAAAGCAAATTGTGGTCTTTTGTGGATGAAGTTCATATGCTGCGTGGTTGGTGACTATGTGATTCCATGGAGGCTAACCAAAGCCTAGACTGAGTGTGGATGAGACCCTCGACTGGGGAGTGATGGGGTTATCAAAGGACATGCTGGGTGAGGGGAGCTGGCTGTCATGTAGGGAGTGAACCAGTGCCCCCCGCCAGAGATACAGTTCAGTTTTAAGAAAAAAGGCAAGGCCGGGCATGGTGGCTCACGGCTGTAATCCCAACACTTTGGGAGGCCGAGGCAGGCGGATCATGAGGTCAAGAGGTCGACACCATCCTGGACAACATGGTGAAACCCTCTCTCTACTAAAAATACAAAAATTAGTTGGGCATCGTGCCTGTAGTCCCAGCTACTCAGAAGGCTGAGGCAGGAGAATCGCTTGAACCCGGGAGGCGGAAGTTGCATTGAGCCGAGATTGCACCACTGCACTCCGGCCTGGTGACAGTGACACTCCAGCTCAAAAAAAAAAAAAGCAAACTACTGAACTTGGAGAACAGACAAACGTGCATTTGATAACTGATGTAACAATTACAATGTGCTGATTGGAAGATACAAAATTACAATTCATTAATGGACTAAATGTTTTTGTTATTTTTCACCCTTGGGGAAAGTTTCCTAGTTGAAGTTAAAACATTCCTACTATTACTTGTCTTGGAAGAAAACCTTTTTATATTTCTGTACAAACTTCCGTTTTAATAATATGACACCACCATGTAAGTTCTCACACATTATCCATGTCTTGTAGAGTAGTAAAGTGTTAAGTAGAAAAACACGCCAGTGTGGTACCCAGTGAAAGGTGGTGTCTGGAACTCTGGACTGTCAACCAGGAAGTGTTGAAGTGACTGAAAAATTAAAGAGCATGGGTAACAGCATGGACAAAGCAGAGATTGAGACGATCTATGTCCATGCCAGAGGAAGCATCCTAGGAAGTTTCCGGTTATAGCAAGAAGACAAAACTCGGTATACATTTTATCTAGATCACTTTTGGAGCACTTAAGCAGATAACCAACTTTGTGCTAACATACATGGGCTCAGGAGAGCCTGATTTAAGACTGACTTCATCCCATTGCTCTTGTGTTCCAGAACCTTCAAGGGACATCACTTACCAGATTCAAGCTTTGCCAGCTTAGCTTTCCTCATAATCAGCATCTATCTATCAGCTGTCAGTTCTACCCACGTGCCCAAATGCTCTTCACACCTTCATGCCTGCAATGCTTTCCTGTGCAGCCTACCTTGGAGGTCCCACTCAATGCTCCACTTCCCTTCCAGCTCCTTTAAAGACTCACTCACACATGAAATTTGGCATTTAACTTTAGTAATATACTCACAAATGTGTTACTAGTTCTTACCTCACCTTCACCAGCCTGGAGAAAAGGGTACCACTGTTGGGCAGCTGAGCCAAGTCTTCCCGCTCTCAATCACCCTGCTGCTCTTGGTTGGCCTGCATCACAGCCCTCTGGATGATATGCTCATTAAGGGTGGGGCCAACTATATAGAAAAAAATACTCATTTGCTGAAATTACTTCTAGATTTCTAGATGAGTATGTAAATTTTTCTGCTCCCAAAGCTCTGGCATCTAGTTTGAGTCAATCTGAGCTCTGTAACAGGTGAAGACATCATATTAGTTTGCACGCTACCAATAGGAGAGATAGGACGAAAGCAGCACTTTAAAAATGGATATTAAACTACCACAATCTTGAAAAAACATCTTTATTTAAGAAATCAAATAGGGTAAAAATGATGCAATTTCACACAAGGATACAAGACAAAGCTTAGAATTACTTGCTCAAAAGTTACTCAGAATGGAACAAAATTGTTCAAGTGCTCCAAATTAGCACAGGTTGTATTACTTGCTTTCCAATGGACATTTACTATTTTACAGTAAGATCTACTTATCATAGGAACAAAGAGAAAATTCCCAGCCCCCTCTGGTGTATAACCTAAAAGGCTGAGTACAAATGTTAATGGATTCCAAACTTTTCTTTGACAACAGTACTAAAAATTGCATTACAACTTTTTACGAGTATCAACAGTTTACTATCTGAGGGAAAGGAAATATAAGAATATAAAGTGACAGAAGCAACACACTTCACTGTGGCCTGCAACTGCTCCCAGCCTCCTATTTTATAAACATGATTCGGGTTCTCACATTATAGCAGGATCACTATTCCTAGCCTCTGGCAGAAGCAGACATGTGACACTTAGCACTGCACAAGTGTTTCTTTGGCTTCTTGAGTAGTGCTGTGTATACTGCCTATACATTTTTATAACATCTTTAAATGCATAACATCAATGTATGTGCTATCACATTTCACTCTCAACTGCAGAATATTTTAATTTTAAATTTATCTACCAAATCTTGACTATGACATTTATTTTTGGGTTGTTGGACATTAAGATCAACCTATCTGGGCCAGGCACGGTGGCTCACACCTGTAATCCCAGCACTTTGGGAGGCTGAGGCAGGAGAATTGCTTGAAGTCAGGAGGCAGAGGTTACAGTGAAACAACTGCCACTGCACTCCAACCTGGACGACAGAGCGAAACTCCATCTCAAAAAAAAAACACAAAAGATCAACCTATCTGAATCGGGCAAGTCAAAAGCTTATTCCTGGCCGGGCACGGTGGCTCATGTCTGTAATCCTAGCACTTTGGGAGGCCGAGGCGGGTGGATCAACTGAGGTCAGGAGTTCGAAACCAGCCTGGCCAAAATGGCGAAACCCCGTCTCTACTAAAAACACAAAAATTAGCCAGGCGTGGTGGTGCACGCCTGTAATCCCAGCTATTCGGGAGGCTGAAGAAGGAGAACTGGTTGAACCCGGGAGGTGGAGGTTGCAGTGAGCCAAGATTGTGCCACTGCATTCCAGCCTGCACGACAAGAGCAAGACTCCATCTCATAAAAACAAACAAACAAACAAACAAAAAACATAAAAAAACAAAAAGCTTATTTCATGGCTAGGCGTGGTAGCTCACGCCTGTAATCCCAGCACTTGCCGAGACGGGTGGATCACGAGGTCAGGAGTTCAGGACCAGCCTGACCAATATGGTGAAACCCCATCTCTACTAAAAATACAAAAATTAGCCAGGTGTGGTGGTGCACACCTGTAATCTCAGCTACCTGGGAGGCTGAAGGAGACCGTTTGAACCCGGGAGGTGGAGGTTGCAGTGAGCCAAGGTCGTGCTACTGCACTCCAGCCTGCATGACAGGAGCAAGACTCCATCTCAAAAAAAAAAAAAAAAAAAAAAAAAAAAAAATAAGCAAGCTTATTCCCAATTTTTAAGTAAAGATATTTCATGGTCAGGCGTAGTAGCTCACGCCTGTAATCGCAGTACTTTGGGAGGCCAAAGTGGGTGGATCACGAGGTCAGGAGTTCAAGACCAGTCTGACCAATATGGTGAAACCCCATGTCTACTAACAATACAAAAATTAGCTAGGTGTGGTGGCACACACCTGTAGTCCCAGCTAGTCAGAGGCTGAGGCAGGAGAATCGCCTGAACCTGGGAGGCGGAGGTTGCAGTGAGCCAAGCAGAGCAAGACTCTGTCTCAAAAAAAAAAAAAAAAAAAAAAATCATGATTATTGATAATGAGCTCTTCATAAATAACACTGTTCACAAGGAAATACCAATTGATCTATTGATATGTGACATGAGACAGAATGTACTATTTTTAAATATAAAAGGAATTTCATTAGGTTTAGATAAGCTGAGAATACACAAGTTTTCCAGGCTATTTAATCAAGTAACTTACAATGTACACATTCCTGAGTATACACCATTGTGGTGACATCATTTATTTTGGAATTTTCTGCATTCAGCTTAAAAGGTGTTTCTTCCCAAGAAACTGAACTTTTCTGTCAAATGCACTTGATCGAATAGGAGAATTGGGTTCATAAAATGGATTCATTGAAAACTAGGAAAGAAGAAAGTATTAGTGAAGCAAAAAAGCTGACAAATCATAAGTCTCTGAAAGGAAATCATTTTAAAGTTTTAAATTAAAAACCAAAGACATTCAAAAGTCTAAAGACCACATTTTTAAGTTTTACTGAAAATGCTGCATTGTTAAATACTAACATCCTCTTAAGGAAATTTTTATTTTGGTGTTTTGGTTTTGAGAAGTATCTGGGGCAAAACTAATGGCAGTATGATAAATGTTGCCTATATCAGTTAACTTTCAGGATTTACCCTGTGTGTGAAATACTCATATTCATTATAAATAAATGGATTAATCTGTATGGCCCTTTGGCTACATAAAACAAAGTCTGCCATGTGCTCAGAGTTCAGAAAAAGCTACTCTTATATGGTAATCTTTTAACAATCAGATTTTTAATACTCTCCTTTAACACAAGACTGCTAAATGATGAGCTTCTCAAAGTAATTAGTGTATCATAACACATGAGAGAAAATCATTAAATGGAATCACTAATAGGAAAGGCATTGCTGATTTTTATACCTTAATCACTTGACATTGTTCATCTTTGTAAGAGAGCTAAATATTACTACCTCTGACTAGGAATACTGTTAAATTGTATTACTGTGCTGATATGCAAGAAATTCTGTCCAAATACAGAACTTATTGAAATTATTAAAAACATACGGGTCAGGGATGGTGGCTCACGCTTGTAATCCCAGCACTTTGGGAGGCCAAGGCGGGTGGATCACTTGAGGTCAGGAGTTCGAGACCAGCCTGGCCAACATGGCAAAACCTCGTCTCTACTAAAAACAGAAAAATTAGCTGGGTGTGGTGGCGGACACCTGTAGTCTCAGCTACTTGGGAGGCTGAGGCAGGAGAATCGCTTGAACCCGGGAGGCAGAGGTTGCAGTGAGCTGAGATCATGCCACTGCATTCCAGCCTGGGTGACAAAGCAAGACTCTGTCTCCAAAACAAAACAAAACAAAACAACACACTGTTACCACTGCAGTGTAACCATGACGTTGTATTATTATTTTATTTTTCAAAATCAAGAAATGCAAGTGGCACCATTCTTCTTGAGTGGCGATTTGATCATATAAAAATCACTTCCTGCCAGTTTATGATCTGTATTAATTGCACTGTAACTTATTTGTAAAGTAGATGGAAACATTTTAAATTATGAAGTAATTTTCCCTTATATAGGCTGCTTCCTTGCTGTCTTTAGGGATCCCTAATAAAATCAGCTATGAGCACCAAGAGGTGAAGAATGAAACCAATTTACCTTCACAGTCATCTAAAGATAACTACCATGAGTTGTGTTCCTAAATACATATTCACCTGCCTGTGAAGACTTACCTGCAGAGAGAGTTGCCAGAGATAGTTCTGATGGGGGAAAGCTAGTCTGAAAGGTACACTGCAGCCTAAGGGAGTTACTTCGATAGGCCACTTTCCTGACAAAGGTCGAATCCTTTCTCATCAGATTTTAAAAATTATAGAACATACCATACCTTTATATATAAATCATAAACATCAGTAAAGAAGTTCTTTATTCCATCTTCTTGTCTTATGTCATGAAGCATAATAAACCTCATATGTAAAATAATTAAGGCACAATCTTTCTTAGAAATGAAAAACAAAAAACAACCAGTTCGTTGATACAATATTCTTCAAATTAGTCACATGCAGTGTATTTGTGATGGAAAAGTTGAATATATAAACTGGGTTTAAAATTAGCTTAGTTTTATCATAAAGAGAACATAAGCTTTCAAAGTTAGAAAATAACTATAAAATAAAGTAAAATAACCTTGATAGGGTCCAGATAAACTTTTTTTTGTGTATGAGACTTAGTTTTAAAATTAGCTATTAAAATGTTTTCCCCCCTAAAAAAAGAAAAGTAGCCCCATAAATGGAAACTTACATTTTCACCTGACTGTGATGTCTACAGACTCAGAGCCTGGCATCTATGTTCCATGTTCTTCTGGTTTGTAAACCCAAACTTTAGTTACCTTTACTAAGAAGGTAAGGATATGCCCCGCAGTGACAAATGCTGACACAAACCACTCGTTGAACTTGTCCACAGTTTTCAAGTACATGTTGTTCGACAGCCACATGTTCTCATCTACGAGGTCGAGAGCAGCATGAGCTATGAACTGGTTCAGATGACGATGGTCATCCTAGATGACAGTGTGAGCAACCACAGATTAACATTTCCATATGACATCAAGAATGCTGACATTTCATTCTGTAAATTCTATAGATGGTTTTCTTGTGGGGAAAAAAACAGTTTGCTTTTATACTTTGTTATTGTCATGAGACTTACAAAAGATCTGTTTTCACATTATATTCTATTTTTAAATTTGATATCTAAATCTCAAAGAACAGAAACAGCCAATTAATAAATGAAATGTGTATACAGATGATTTATACAAAATCATTTATTCAAAATCTTTTTCATAGGAATTTTTTTCATGTTTCAAGAAGGAAGTTACCAAATTCTGTAACCATTTAAACATGTAAAAAAAAAGAATACTATGTTTAAAAAAAAAAACAAAAAACAAGATCCTGTGGAGAAGAGGTGCCATTCACAGCAGGCTCAAGGTCTGGGAGGAAACGGAGAGGGCCCAGATTCCTGCACAATGGCACCAGGTAAGCAGTAGAGACAGTTGAAATGGCGCTTATAACGGCCTGCCAGAGGCCTCTTTCCAGTGCATGGAGCTTACATGGCAGCGGGACCTGGAAGTAGTGGGAGGTGATGCTCAGCCCCAGCTGTGAACAGTCGCCTGTGTCAATAGCAGGACACAGTCCTGTCAGAGCTGGGAGTGTCCTTTTCCTGGGCTGAAATGGCTTTAGTGAACAGAAGGTGGGACTGTCTGACCATAATGTGAAGAGGGAATTCACAACTTGGAATGCAGTCTTACCCCGATGTAATTCTTTGAAAATACATTTTTTGGCCAGGTACGGTGGCTTATGCTTGTAATCCTAGTACTTTCGGAGGCCAAGGCAGGTGGATCACCTGAGGTCAGGAGTTCGAGACCAGCCTGGCCAGTATGGTGAACTCCCGTCTCTACTAATACAAAAATTGTGGTGGTGCATGCCTGTAATCCCAGCTACTCGGGAGGCTGAGGCAACCCGGGAGGCGGAGGCTGCAGTGAGCCAAGAGCACGCCATTGCGCTCCAGCCTAGGGGACAAGAGCAAAACTCCATCTCAAAAAAACCCAAACAAACCATTTTTCAAAGAATACCTCTGTTATGGGTTGAAGTGTTTCCTCTCCAAAATTCCTTTGTTGAAGTCCTAAGCAACAGTACCTCAGAATGTGGCCTTATTTGGAAAGAGGGTTGCTGCAGATGTGGTTAGCTAAGATGAGGTCACATTGGAGTAGGGTGGGCCCCTAATCCAATGGACTGGTGTATTTAGAAAAAGGGAACATTTAGAGATGCACACAGGGAGAAAAATGCCACATGAAGGCTGGAGTTAAGCTGCCACAAGCCAAGGAACTCCCAGAAGCTGGGAGAGAGGCCTGGACAGACCCTTGTCTTAGTGCCTTCATAGGAAGCATGGCCCCACTGACACCTTGATTTCACATGGTGACCCTCAGAACTGAGACAATAAATTTCTGCTGTCCCAAGCCACTCAGTTTTTTGTACTTTGTTACAACAGCCACAGGAAACCAAGACGGCTTCCTTGCCAAGGAGGCTGTTCTCATGCCTGGGCTGGAGGAGGGCGGCCTGTTGCCCTGGAATCCCATGCATAGTTAAAGCATGTTTTACTTCACTCATGTTGCCATGACAAAGCTAAGTGAATCCTTAGAGAAACGGCTGTTTTTATGTCTGGCTCACAGCAGTGTTTTCTTTTACAATGATGATCAATCCTGAAGAATTAGGAGCAAACTGAAAACGCTTTAAGAAAGTGAGTGGTAGCAGGAGAAAGAACTAAAATCAAGTTATGCAACAGAGTATTTTTATGTGTGCTTTGTCCAACACAAGGCCAGTGGAGTACACAGAAATTACATACAAGTAGCTGCATCCCACAGAGCAATACTGGTACAGAGATACCTCAAAACAAGTTTTAATGAGTAGTGTTCTCATAATATGAGAAAATAATGTCACAACACTACCTCATAGAGAATCCCTTAAACAAATGCCTATCTTATTTTGGTGGCAAGGCCCAAATAGTTGAAAAATATCATATATTATGCATTACAATTAACTCAAAACATCAGTTCCTTAAAGGACATTAAAGCCAATTTTTGGAGGTTGGGAGAAACATAGCAAACTTGTCAGCAATTTATTAGAAACAGAAATTGGAAAGAACTGGGCTCTTCTCATGTCAAAACTCTACAGGTCTGGGCCAGGTGTGGTGGCTCACATCTGCAATCCCAGCACTTTGGGAGGCCGAGGGCAGGCAGACCACCTGAGGTCAGGAGTTCAAGACCAGCCTGGGCAACATGGCGAAACCCTATCTCTACTAAAAATACAAAAATTAGCCTGGCATGGTGGTGCACACCTGTAATCCCAGCTACTTGGGAGGCTGAGACAGGAGAATTGCTTGAACCCAGGAGGCGGAGGTTGCAGTGAGCTGAGATCGTGTCACTGCACTTCAGTCTGGGTGACAGAGGAAGGCTCTGTCTCAAAAATAAATAAATAAATAAATAAATAAGATCCAAATGGTTTTATTTTAAGCATTTGGGATGGTAATCTTTCTTAAAATATATGGTCCATTTTCCTTGTCTCCAAAAAAAAAAAAAAATCTACAGGTCTGAACGGCAATATGTTCTCAAGCCAAGCTTGGTTTTTGGAACCATTCTTGACAAGAAAGTCAGAAATTATCACCTCTGGTGCTGCTTTTGAGCTTCCTGTGTACAGCCAAGGTGTCACTGGGGAGGGGAGCATGCAGGCTCAACCTAGCCAGGAAGTGCTGCAGAATGCCCCTGAAGTGAGGTGCTGCAGACCCACTGGCAGCAGGAAGACAGGGAAGTAAGGGGCTTTTCTAACTCAGTAGGTCCTGATGAAAAACGTGATTCATAAAAATAGCCTGGACTTTCATGGCATTTCAAGGCAGCAATCTGCTACAGGTGAACTATGTTTTTGTGTGCTTAAGCAGCAGCAATTCATGGTGGGTGACATAGTGAACTGAGTATCATGGGAATGCCAGAGCGTCATGCTAGTCTGTGCTGAATTAAAGGATGAATAAACAACTCCAAGGACATTCCCTGGCTGGCTTCTATCAGTCTGTGGGACTCTACAGCAAGCCTCATTTAATTGTGGTGGATTTCAGTTACCTTATCTGTCCAGATCTTACAGTTCTAAAATAATATACCATATCATTACAATAGCATAAAAATTCTTACGTACTTTGGATTCTGCCTTCCCAGCTGGCAAAAACTCCATTTCAAAAACTGGATTATCATGGTGGCCAACAATTACAAAGTAGAAGCTCCCAGACATGGTCTTCAATATATGGCTCCTAATTAAGTGAAAAATGGTACATATTTTTAGTAGTCAATCTTCAAATTAAAAAATGACTAATGGGAAGTGTAGAATTCCTTTTTTAGCTTAAACTTGACATTGTAGAGGAAGATGCTACTAAGCTTGGCACAGTTTCCAGTATACTAGTGAAGATATGTAGCTTCTGGAATAAACAAATTATATATCTGTGATATATCCTGTAGAATCTAATGTATTTTCATAAGGAAACTAGAAGACCTCTAACATGAAATCACTAAGACAACATTCTCATGATCTGAAAGTATGGCTCATTTAGCTCAAGGGGCCCTGAGTGTCTGGTCGAGTAAGCCAGGCTTCACTTGGACTGGACCAGTTAGCAGCACGGACACCTAGAAGGATTAACAGAAGGTGGTGGTAAGTCAAGGACAATACAGAGTAGTGGGAAGACCAACGAAGTAATTAGCTTGCCTTAGAAATTTCCAGGAAGCATCTGTCAGGGGAAACTAAAACCAACTCTACCTCATGTCACTTACCTAGAATGGAGAGACACTGTAGCACTGATCCACAGACTGCGTGTGCTGTATTTGTCTTCTTTCTACTTGAAGTACGTGTGCTATAAATCTAAGTCTTTGCAAATATAAGGGTCTATGATATGCCTCTTTATACACCAATTTATAAGAAAGGAAGAGTTTTGTATTCTAGAAAAGATGGAAGAAATAATCCATAAAGGAAGACATTCTGAGGCACTGAGAGATCTTGGAACTAAGTTTAACACATTGGGCAGGGTGCAGTGGCTCACACCTGTAATCCCAGCACTTTGGAGGGCTGAGGTGGGCAGATTGCTTCAGCCCAGGAGTTTAAGACCAGCGTGGGCAACATGGTGAAACCCCATCTCTACATGAAATACAAAAATTAGCCAGGCATGGTGGTATGTGCCTGTAGTTCCAGCTACTCAGGAGGCTGACGCAGGAGGATCACCTGAGCCCAGGGAGGTCAAGGCTGCAGTGAACCGAGATCGCACCACTGCACTCCAGCCTAAGTGACAAAATGAGACCCTGTCTCAAAAAAAAAAAACCAAAAAAACACAAAAAAACAAAAACAAAAAAGTTCAACAGATTGGCAAAAGAAATAAAACTACGAGAAACTGGGGGAAAAAACATAAGTGATTCCATGGCTTTTAGCACAGATAATTGAAATCTAGATGAATGATGGATGGGTGGGGGCATGGATGGATTTACCCCAAGGTAACCCCGTGGTGTGTATTTTTAATACAAGGACTTTGGAGTCAAACAAAGTTAGGTTCAGGTCTAGCTCTGCTACTTACTGGCAATGTGACCACAGGCAGTCCTTAATTTCCTAATGTCAGTTTTCTCATCTGTAAAATAGTGGTAACACTGTAGCACTTTATGGTGCACTTATGAGGATCACACAATCTAATGCATGTAAAGCACCTGGCAGTGTCTGACTCACAGTACCTGCTCAATTAATGTTATCTAGAATAACATGGAAGACTGTATGCACACTGGGATGTGGTGACTAGTAACTTCTCAACATGGAGTGGAAATCAAGTAAACCGGGAGTTACAGTCAGTCTCCTGGAACATACATCTGAGGTGTGTTAGAAGCCAAGACTTATCAAGCCTCATTGGGCCTTCTGCTGATTCACACAGAACACACAATGAAATCAGAAGAAATCTGATATGTACTTGCTAATGAATGACACATTTTATAAAGGAAATCAAGGCACAGCTGGCACTTTTAACTCTAGAATTGGAAGGCCATAACTGGGGAAGAAAAGGCAGACCAGAGACTCTTGGCATGATGAAGTAGGATTTAAAATGCTATTTGGGGCAGGGGTGGAGGGGTGGGGGACTATAGACTGCAGGCCAAATCTAGCCTTGCCCATCCTTTTGTGACCATCTAAGGTTGCTCTCACACTTCAATGGCAGAGTTAAGCACCTGTGACACAGACCAGCCGTCCCACAAAGCCAACAATATTTACTATCTGGCCCTTTAAAGAAAATGTTTGCCCCTGTTTTAAGGGTAAGATGAGAAAAAGGTCCAAACAGAAAAAGTGGATAATAAAGACAAGCTGGAATGATAAAAAAGCTATGCAAAACTAGAAGAACTGGCAATAATTCTCCAAAGTGAAGGGAAGAAGGAGGGAGTTGAAATTTGAACAAAGTAAACAATGATATCATGAATTCTTCCTGGACTAGATTTCAGAGCTGGAGTCTGCCAAGGGAAGGGCTTCTTACTTTCTTCAGCACAGTTAAACAGCAGCAAAAACAAAACAAAAAAAAAACAAAACAAAACATAAGGAAATATATGTACATATATGTATAAGCGAGATAACATGCATCCCCACACTCACCTCTATATGGAAAGCCACAAATGGGCAAGCAGCATGGCACTAAGTCAGCAGACAGAAAGGGAACTCAAAGACCGACTGCATGAGGATGCTGTTACCAACTACCCAGCTGCACAGAAGATGAGACAGAGCTTTCTTTATATACATTCCGTGCTTGATTTCAGCTGCCAATTATTTGATTTTGTAAACAGCTGAAAAAGCAAGAAGGGCTGTAGCTTTTCATTCACTTCCACCAAGAAAAAACTGACAGGTGAAGTGGAAGAACTGAATTCTCCCTGGGAGAAAATGACCCCATTATCTAGGGAGGGGAACAGCTGCAATCACTTAGCAAATACTTGAGGGTATCCAGCAAAGGTAAGACATACACTAGGATTCTGTGCTGTCCAATCTATGGAACTTTGTGCGAGGACGGAAATGTTCTACACCTGTGCTGTCCAATATGGGAGCTAGTGTGCATTAGAAATGTGGCTAGTGTGGGCCGGGCATGGTGGCTCACGCCTGTTATCCCAGCACTTTGGGAGGCCGAGGCGGGAGGATCATGAGGTTAGGAGATCGAGACCATCCTGGCTAACACAGTGAAACCCCGTCTATATTAAAAATACAAAAAATTAGCCAGGTGTGGTGGTGGGCGCCTGTAGTCCCAGCTACTTGGGAGGCTGAGGCAGAAGAATGGCATGAACCCAGGAGGCAGAGCTTGCAGTAAGCCAAGATCTCGCCACTGCACACTCCAGCCTGGTGACAGAGTGAGACTCCATCTCAAAAAAAAAAAAAAAAAGAAAAGAAAAAAAGAAAGAAATGTGGCTAGTGAGATTGTAGAACTGAATTTTAATTAAACATAAGTGGCTAGTGGCTACAGTACTAGACAGCATGGGTCTACATCAATGATTCCAAACTAGTGGCACAATCATATGCCCCTCTGGGACAAAGCTTCCAAAGGAAGGATTAGGCAGCAATATTTGCTGTTCTGCAATATTTGCTGTTCTGCAGCCTCCACTGGTGATACCCAGGCAAATAGAGTCTGGAGTGGACCTCCAGCAAACTCCAGCAGACCTGCAGCTGAGGGATCTGTTAGAAGGAAAACTAGGCCGGGCGCGGTGGCTCAAGCCTGTAATCCCAGCACTTTGGGAGGCCGAGACGGGCGGATCACGAGGTCAGGAGATCGAGACCATCCTGGCTAACATGGTGAAACCCCGTCTCTACTAAAAAATACAAAAAACTAGCCGGGCGCGGTGGCGGGCGCCTGTAGTCCCAGCTACTCGGGAGGCTGAGGCAGGAGAATGGCGTGAACCCGGGAGGCGGAGCTTGCAGTGAGCTGAGATCGGGCCACTGCACTCCAGCCTGGGCGACAGAGCGAGACTCCGTCTCAAAAAAAAAAAAAAAAAAAAAAAAAGAAGGAAAACTAACAAACAGAAAGGAATAGCATCAACATCAACAAAAAGGACATCTACACCAAAGCCCCATCTGTAGGTCACCAACATCAAAGACCAAAGGTAGATAAAACCACAAAGATGGGGAGAAACCAGAACAGAAAAGCTGAAAATTCTAAAGTCACAGCACCTCTTCTCCTCCAAAGGATCGCAGCTCCTTGCCCAGCAACTGAACAAAGCTGGACGGAGAATGACTTTGATGAGTTGACAGAATTAGGCTTCAGAAGGTCAGTAATAACAAATTTCTCCGAGCAAAAGAAGCATGTTTGAACCCATCGCAAGGAAGATAAAAACCTTGAAAAAAGGTTAGATGAAGGCCGGGCGCGGTGGCTCAAGCCTGTAATCCCAGCACTTTGGGAGGCCGAGACAGGCGGATCACGAGGTCAGGAGATCGAGACCATCCTGGCTAACACGGTGAAACCCCGTCTCTACTAAAAAACACACACACACACAAAAACTAGCCGGGCGAGGTGGCGGGCGCCTGTAGTCCCAGCTACTCGGGAGGCTGAGGCAGGAGAATGGCGTAAACCCGGGAGGCGGAGCTTGCAGTGAGCTGAGATCTGGCCACTGCACTCCGGCCTGGGAGACAGAGTGAGACTCCGTCTCAAAAATAAAAAAAAAAAAAAAAGAAAAAAGGTTAGATGAATGGCTAACTAGAATAAACAGTGTAGAGAAGACCTTAAATGACCTGATGGGGCTGAAAACCATGGCACAAGAACTTCATGACGCATGCACAAGCTTCAATAGCCGATTTGATCAAGTGGAAGAAAGGGTATCAGCGATTGAAGATCAAATTAACAAAATAAAGCGAGAAAACAAGGTTAGAGAAAAAAGAGTAAAAAGAAACAAAGCCTCCAAGAAATATGGGACTATGTGAAAAGACCATATCTACGTTTGACTGGTGTACCTGAAAGTGATGGGGAGAATGGAACCAAGTTGGAAAACACTCTTCAGGATATTATCCAGGAGAACTTCCCCAACCTAGCAAGGCAGGCCAACATTCAAATTCAGGAAATACAGAGAACACCACAAAGAGAAGAGCAACCCCAAGACACATAATTGTCAGATTCACCAAGGTTGAAATTAAGGAAAAAATGTTAAGGGCAGCTAGAGAGAAAGGTCGAGTTACCCAACAAGGGAAACCCATCAGACTAACAGCAGATCTCTCAGCAGAAAAACTACAAGCCAGAAGAGAGTGGGGGGCCAATATTCAACATTCTTA